GTAGGAATTGTCAGGATACTTTCCGGGAAGCAAAGGTGGGCTTTCAGTGGGCGCAGTCTACGGCGTGGACAAGGAATCACGAGGACAGGTTTGGAAACTTCTTGAATGGCACTGAACCGCCGGCAGGAAGACTTGAGGCTCCGCTCGTGTGAACAGCGTGTAAGAAGCTGCTTCTGTGCCCGTGGAGACCGGGGCATCCGCGCCACCGCTGCAGCTCCTGGCGTCGCGGGCAGCCCATCGCGGGGTCCCCGCAGGTTGGACGGAGAAGTGAGGTCTCTCGGGTGAAGCTGAGCCTGTGCGTCGCCCATCAGCGCCAAACTGCTGCTGTGAAGCTTCTAGAACCTGTTCTGCGCTACCGTTGTCACTGTCTTCTGAAGGGGGTGACCAGAGATGGTCAAATGCGGATGCGCGGTGGCCGTACTGTTAGGAAGCCACCAAAGCGTGCGGGTGGCAGCAGAGGTGGATTTGACAGAAGAAATCCTTGCTGAATGTGGAATGCGGGCGACGTCTTCCCTGGGCTGCACATGGTTTATTGCTACTCGGGATGTAGCGTGTTTAAATTCAATTCTCTGTTTCAAAGAAATCTGAATCCCATTAGGACGCGGGGATGATAAATAACCGAAGCGCGTGCTCAGACTGCTGCTGCTGGCATAAGGCTGAGGTCCCCTGGGATGAGTTTGGTTGAGCAAGCAGGAGGAGACGTTCAGCTCCCTGTGTAAGAGGTGCCTGTGCTGAGGAGTCCTGGCAGTGTTTCTCGGTGCCTGTAAGAAAACAGAAATTTTTCTGTGGGTGCAGGGGGGAACCATCTCGCAAGTGCTCGGAGCACGGGCACCCTTCGCCATGGGCTTCCATGCATGCAGTTGCTTCCTAGGAATCTCCCTGTGGGCAGGCAACGCAAATGAGCTATGACTTCCGTCTCGTCCGTAACTTTGGTTAGCAGTTCCAATGTGACCTGCATCACGGGTTTGAATGGTAAGTCCTGACTAAAGTGCTTCACGGGCGGCCAAAGGAAGGTTTCCATCCGCCCTCTGGGAGGAGGAGAGATTTGAAAAGCAGATAAAAACAAGAGGCAACTCCAGCATAGCTTTAGCTACAGTAGGCATGTTAGGCTGGTAAGTATCTGGGGAGGCAGCGTATATTTAGTGTTAGAAACACGAATTACGTCCTAATGAATTTACTTTGCTCTCCTTCATTCCTCTCTGTAGCTCGGATGCATGCAAGGTTTCCTTCAGCTCTAGGATAGTGTTTGGAAGTGCTGTGAACAGGCTATTGGTGCCACAAAAACCCTGATCTTGGCAAAGATACCGAGGTCACGGCCAAACCAAAGCTACGAGGCTGAGGAATGCGTGCGGCTCCCTGGGAAGGCCGGAGATATCTCCATTGACATTGAAAATGTTTGCGGAGCGTTAGTGCTATTCTTTTTTTCGTGAGCAGGGACACTGAGATTTCTGTTCTGGTAACAGCACACTTGAGTGATGTACCGAGGTCTGCGCAGTGGGGTTTTGTCTTCCAGCGGCGTGAGGAATGGCTGCCCAAAAGCAGAGGGAACAGAGCAGGTTGTTTCTCATCTACTCTTTTTTTTTTTTTTTTCCTGAGAGTCATTCCCTATTAGAAGAGGAAACTTGTGTCCAATAAGGAATTACATATACCAGAGCAAGAAAATTGCTGCTCTGCTCTTGTACTTTACCTGAGTAAGTAGAGGCGTTTCCTAAAAATGGAGCATTTCTTAAAAATGCTGCTAGAAGGGAAAGCATTAGCGGTGCGCCCAGTGGGACAGTATCATGCTCGAAACTAAAGGTTGCATTCAGAAACTACTTGGGTTTTAAGCTCTCAGAAGTTAAATGCTCTGTTACTGGCCTCTGATCTTCTGGTTTTCTGCACTTAAAATGGGTGCTAATGCTGGAAGAGGCAGTCGTGGCCGCTTCTGCAGCTGTGCGGGCCTCTCCTTGAGCTGGCACCAGTGTCTGTACAGCTGAACAGCAGAGTACTTGTAGTGCTGATGGGGCTCGATGCCGGCTGGGCTGGGTTTTCCCCGGGCTGGGTCCCGATTCTCTTCCTACACAGATGGTTCGGGTGGGAGCGGGGCAGGAACAAGCCGTGGGGTGAGGCCACGGGGATTCTTTGGGGAGTGGTGCAGCGCTCAGTGAGGAACTTTACTGAATGTGTCTCAGTTCCACATCAAGAACTGAATCGGTTGATGATCACGTGAGTCAAAATCTGTTCTGAAAGTTTAGCAATGGTCACCTTAAACGCTCTGAAAAGGTAAGTACTCCTTTGTCAGGTCACTGTGCTGTAGTGCTTAGGGCACGATTCAGAGATCAAACATCCGCTCCTCGGGGTGTGAAGTGGAAGCTGCTCTGTCACATACGGAGAGGAACATTGCCTTTCTTTGTGTCCTCGTGTGCTTCAGCTTCCTGTAGTCAGTGGAGTTGCAATAAATGTCAGGGCAAGTGACCATCTGGCTTGCAGCGTTTATCCTCAGCCCGACTTTGAGGTCTTCTCTGCAGGGGCATTAGCTATGAAATCCCAGCTTTGACCTTGCCCCTCTGGGCGATAGCCGAAGTGTGAGAAGCACCCGTGGCTACCTGTGCCTTAGCAACAGCCGCTCCGGTCGGGTGCGCTGTTGCGTTGT